AATTTGTATAATCGAAATTTTTTAGCTTTTACGAAATACCCATAGCTGCAGATTTTAGAAGATTCACAAACATATAAAATCTTTTACAAGTTTCGGCTCGTTGGAGGTTACCAGCTAATATAGACGGGAGCCTGAGAAAAGTCCACATGTATAATATCTAATTTTAAAAAAGCATACGTATTTTTCTTAAGTGCCAGGCGTTATCACATGTTTCGATACAAATAACATGTTTAAGATAACTAGGTCTACATTTCCACCTGTTATACCAGATATGCATTTATAAAAGCTGTGAGATCATAACACAAGTTCATGTGAAGCTCTGCGACCTGAAGATGTATATGAGTAGAGATAACTAATTTGAGTTAACTAATCGGAAATCGTCTCTCATCAGTCATTCCTCTCGACCGTGTTTAAAACAAACTACATAATCATACATAGCAAGCAGATAAGACTTCTACTTCCTCCTGCTGTTGCACTCTTTAAAGGTAAGATTTAATTTGTTGTCAATAATCTTTCCATTAAATATGCACACACATTTTAATCAGATATTCTTAAATTATACTTTCGGACGTATTATACCAAACATCTAAAAAGTGTGAACAGAATCAGTTGGAGTTCCGTGAATTAGATGATATCATATGATCCCGGTGTAGATTTAGCTGTACTTGTCACTCTTCTTTCCTCCACCCTCTTGTACAATACGGAAGCGTTTTGTGGATCATGTGATACCATATTGTTATCATAACGTCTACGTGTTGTGTTGGAGAGAGACTTGATAGATGTGTATGTTCCTTATCCCCCATCCAACTTTCTTATACAATTAATCAGAGCTGTGTGAGGAAAGTGGTACTGATATTTGTAACGAACTCCCCTACGCATAGTCCAATACTTAAAGACGAACAACAAAAAATACACAAATAATATTACATTGATTGACATATAACACTAATAATGTAGACACTCATTCATTAACACTAAAACTTCCTATCGTTGGGATAATATGTAGACGATCTCAAATGGGTAGCGATTTCATATTGAATTTGTGAAACGAGTTGAATAATGTTCAGCTTTTGCGAACCTTGGCGAGTTTCATAAATTTCATATTCAATCAGTACCCATTCGAGATTCTTTTTATCACATAGTTTTATTTTAGTAGAAATTATTTAGATAGAAAGATGAACGAATAAGTTCGTTCATTCTGATTGATATATATATATATATATATATATATATATATATATATATATATATATATATATATATATATATATATATATATATACATTCATACATACATATATACATTCATACATACATATATACATAATTTGATTTTCTATGCATATGTTTTCCCATTATAACTCTTCGACTTGTTTGTTATGTTTACTTTGTAATTATTTTCCTTTTCAGAATACTCTTCTCGTAGAAAAGAGGAGTCAGTCTCAAAAGGAATGGAACAGGACAATGATTCACAATGTAAGACATTGATTGGTTTAAGATCAGATATTTATGTGCACATCTGATATTTTATAACATGTTGCGTTTTCATGATTGCTGAAATGACAGCAATCAGTAAAGAAAAAGGATATCAGAAATAGGCTGATGATCATGTTGCAATTATATAACGGCGACCAAACCTGTTTATAAATTCTAAGGGTGTTGGTTACATGTGCAACTTGAGACCCAGACATGTATAACAATTTTCCCCGAAACCTCAAGACAGTTATTCATCACTAATTACTTTGAAGATTTAAGACATTACACTTTCTTTGCACGGTTTCAATGTACCAGTACTTTGGAAACTATTATACGTTTCTCGGACTACGAGATAAAAATAAACAGACATGCAGCTTAAAGACATTAATATAGAAACATCTAAAGTATATCTATATTGAATAATAAATACAGCAAAACCATTCCTCGTGATAACCAATGTAGTAAGACTATGTCCACTATACTTATTAGAAACGTACAGAACCATGTTTTTTTTTCTTGATTCGAATGTTGTATAAGTCCGAATTATGACCAATTTGCTATTTTTGTATTACGATCAGAGGTTTTCGCATTTCTGATTAGTATGGATATAAATTTTCGGGTTGAAACGACAATGTAGAAAATACTTATTCTATTTATTTATCCTATCTCACACGCGACTTTTATTAAATCTTACACGTAAATTGTATGCCGACTCGAGGACTATTTTGACCTTCAGCTATGAGCATAGCACAGCCAATGGATTAAAAATTCAAAGATTGGCATCAACTCTTGATGATTACAAGACCAAAAAGATCCGGCCCGACATGTCCTCATTATGTGTCGTACGAGGCAACTAAGTAAAAGCAACCTGTTTGCTGTGAGTTGCATCCCGTGTCGAGGGATGAAAGGATCCTCATAGTTGAGCAGAGGCCTTCCGATGCAATACACTGCTTTGGCCTCTACTTCTTCTAGACGGGTGGTCGGGATGGGCATGGTCTCCACAAATCGGCTGGTCACGCTGAGCCCTAGGAGGTCTTTATTTATTTGCTTACTTCCTTTATCTTTCACCTTGTATCTCCCTTGATACCACCGTTGCCCCTACAGTCTATCCCTTTCACTTTTCCCAAGTCTTAGAAGACTTCCTAAAATGTGGTCGCTTAACGGGTCAATCGGGAGGTAATTTTACCGACTGAGTATATCGACTTTGTATCCCTGGCACTTCAAAGACTGTCTCCTTGCTGGGCTTCATGGTGGGCGGGGAGCACAGATGCTGAATTTTAAATAAACCAACATGGATAATTCCAAAAGAAAACATCAAAACAAACGAAGGAAATCTCTATCAGACTCGGATGACGAACCGTGTAGTGTGGGGTCATTTCCACGTATCATGGTTAATCAGTCTAAAGATGCCTCAAAACAGCTTTCCGCACTCTGTTTATTTTGTTTTTTAAACAAATAACAGGATCGATCAGCGCACGAAAAAGTGTTAATTAATTGAAATCAGGCTGCTTTCTTGTTGAGTTTGAGCGATGAGGTCAAACAAAAAATATAAAAAAATGAAAAATATATTCGATATTTCAGTGACCCCTTTGACCCACACAACAGTGCAAAGGCATGATTCGCTGTCGTGACTTGGCTTGAGTCAGCGACACAGATATCATTCAGTGGGTGAAAACCAACGGTGTCACTGCAGTCCGTAGAATACGTATTAAACGTAACAACATTCTGAAAGATACCAACACCATTGTACTCACCTACAACAAACCAACAGTACCTAGAGTGGTCAAAGTTGGTTTTTGTACCTGAAGGTAGAGATATACATTCCGAAACCCTTCAATGCTACAAGTGTCAGAAATATGGCGATGATGAAGACCAATGCACAAAAAGCCAATTATGTAGCCCATGCAGAGACTATTTTCAGGAATCTGAGTGTAGAGCAACTCCGCATTGTCAACTGTGGAAAGGAGCACCACGTCTATTCCAATTATTGTTATACCTGAAAACAGGAGAAGGAAATACAGAGGGTAAAGAACACGTCTAACATTCCCTATCCAGAGGCCAGAAAACTTGTGCAGACACAAATCTCTTCCTGGCCCATCCTTCTTCACTGTAGTGAAAAACAATCCCAAAACAACAAAGAACGCTCAAACACAAACAGATCCACCCGATTCAAAAGCAGGCCCTAACACCCAATTACTGCGACAGAAAAACATGGCATCTACTCACAACTCTCAATAATACCTCACCACCAAAATCACTGAGGAATAAAATTAAATCTAAAGGAAATAGGCAGCAAAAGGGGTCAGATCAGCCCAATCAAACTCTATAACAGGTTTGGAGACATTACGAGCATGGACGCAGAAGAAACCGCTGCAGGTGCTCAATGTGTTTCCGGACCTATCCAACAAAAAATTAACACAGACTACTCTCGTCAACCGAGGGTTAGAGGGGCTGATTTTGTTCTGTGTAGGTGGCTGATGAGGCAAATCCTTGCACGAAAGGTTCGGTTGCATAAGGGACAAGGGATGAGTTGGACATCTCCAGGAGGGTTGATGGCATGTGCTTTTCTGGCTTGTCTCATTAGCTCTGTATCTGCTGTCCTGCTAGATTCGCACAACTTGGAGCCTTTGAGCACGTAGGAACGCCAAGAAACTCGATCGCTGGATGTTTGCTCCCATGAATCAGAGTGCGCTTTCAATGCAGCTTTCAGATTTTCTTTGAAGCGGGTCTTCTTACCTCCGTGGGATCGCTGTCCTTTCTATGACTCACCATAGAAGAGTCGCTTAGGCAGTATATGGTCTGGTATGCGTAAAACATGTCCCGCCCAGTGTAGCTGGGACTGCTTCAAGATGGTATGGCTCTCTGCAGCACACTGTTCTTACTCTGAGTCTTGCTATAGCCTAACTGTCTCTCCAAACCAAAAAGTGTTTAAACATCAATGCAAATCCCCAACATTTTATCTCCAAGGACATAAACGTTTCAGTGGGTGTTATGCTGTGTGAAGTTACGTAAGTATTCACCATACAACATCTGACTTCTTCACTCATTTTCCTTCATGAGTGTGAGAATTATGAACCTTCATTTTACGCACCTCCGGAATCAGAATTTCTTACCCTCTGACGTAATTACCCTATCATTCACTGACGAAGACGAAGATGTATATTTTCCAGCCAGTTATATATATATATATATATATATATATATATATATATATATATATATATATATATATATATATATATATATATATATATATATATATATATATATATATATATTCCAAGGATATTTTACACTGAGTTTGCAGCGGGATAGTGGTGCGATCAACGCAATGCACTGGGCCACAACGACTCAGAAGGCCCCGAGCAAGAAAACAAAAATTGGAAAATTGTGGAGGATTTTTCTTTACCAATTAATTTTAAAATTATGACAGCTGTTCACTTTCCACGAAATGATGATAAGTATTGGATGGAGCCACCTTCTACTAATATGTCCTAAATATTAAATTTATTCCTTGGACTGGAGCCATGGTGGCCCAGTGGTTAGCTTGTCGGACTCAGGATCGAGAGGGTACAGGTTCGAATCCTGCCATTGGACTACTCCCGTCTGTAAATGTGAGGTGCCTTGCCCAACTATACACCATGCGAGTAGATCGTTTCAGTTTTGGGCGACAATAAATGAAAGACACAATGTTTTTCATTTCTATTATTTCACCCTTTATTCATGCCTTTTAACAATCCTTAGAATATCTCACACAGAATATACCCTACAGGTATAAATAATGACTCGTTAATATTCACTATACGAAAATGTGGCCAAAATCTATGAGTGGCCTAAAATTCCGATTTGTCCTCGTGTGTGTATGTGTGTGCGTGTATTTGTGTGTGTTTCTTGCCATTACAACGAGTTATTTTGAATTTTGTCATTTGTACACTTGATCTTACCAGTAATCCCGATTTTAAGATATACGTGGATTTTTATGCCAGAATAATGGTAATAGCATAAAATTCTCAACTGTATCTGTGTGAGTTCATTTCATGCGTGCTTTCATCATTTTAAGTATTTGTCGTAGGAGGCAGAAAGAAAACTTTGGTATATCAGAAAGATTCACATTCTAAAATTAAAGAAGGCTCACTCTTGTGAACTGCTAAAAACAGAGATGTTATATAGGAAAAATCTTTGAATATCCTTCTAACGGACACTTTGTTGCTTTTCTTCGTAATATTTCATTTAGGTCTACTTCATATTTGCTGCTCATATATGTCCTTAGGTGTAATGTTAGGCATGAGTAAGAGAAAAAAGAAGCAGACATTTACGTTTACATTATTTTCTTTTAAGAACAGGTAATTCTTATTTCTTTCTTGATTTTAATTGCCTTCTTTTTATTCCCACTTTTCCAATATCAACCCAAAGTTAGTCACCAGTTACTGCATAATTAAATAGCTGAATCGTTTTCAATATTTGCATTGATTTGAGATAATCTGGTACCCTGTATAAGAATCTTGAAAGAATTTGGCAATGTGTATTAATATCGCAGATGTTTTGATTATATACTTCCCAGTATGTTTCATCCCAGCCATGTTTACTGCGCCTTTACCTGTCCAGAAAAAAAGGAAAAGAATACAAAGAACTTTATTTTGTCTTGCTCAAATGGTTTTGACTGCATGCATTACATAAGAGCCGCCATTTCTATTGAAATGGGAATTCCATCACTATACTTCATCGGTAATTGGCTGCCAGCTGTTTTGGCTCTGACGACACTGAGCAGAAAACAGCCCATGTCAAGAGAGGTAAGACATTATGTGATTTTTCTCCGGTCTATGTTTAACTTTAAATATCAGCATATTCAGCGTGAAATCATTATTCCAAAATAAGCGGATTTTGCATAACACATATGAGACCACAAAATTGATGAACAAATATACCTATTGAAGAATTTCTCAATACTTTACCTATAATTCAAATCATTTTTTTTTTCAGACCTAACCATTTTATTGTTTGGAAATGATAAAGTTGGAAAAACTTCCACCGGAAATGTAATTCTCAAAACACAAAGGCCTAAGCCAAAATAATTACAACGATGAAACATGTGATCCAGTGTGTTGGTCTGCCCAAACTGTAGCCGTTCCTGGCTATACCATCACGGTAATAGACACACCAGGCTTTGGCCTGTCTAAGACAAAAGTGATTGAAGCTATTAAACACAAATGTTCGTCCGTGAGAGGTAAATTTGTCGTTTTGTTTGTTGTCAGAGCTAAACATGTTTCATACAATGAGTGTAAAGAGTCCATCCGGAATTTCAAAAAAGTGTTTGGGAGAAAATTCAGTGACCAAATAATTGTGGTGGTCACTCACTTGGACAATTTGGGAGGAAACATGAACGTTGAAACATTTCTTTCCTCTTGTTGTTCACAGCTGAAGAGATTTATCACAAAGCATAATTCACAAGTTTGTTTTTTTGATAACGTGACCCCGAACAGTGATATCTTGAGGTCACAGGTTACGAGGTTGGTGTCCATAATTGAAAGCGAGGAGAACTCCACGAATGAAAGCCAAACAAATACTGGGTCATGGAATTTTCTGCTCTGGTCAGCAGCAGCGGTAGTAATAGGCAGCCTTGCAATAGGGGCTATATATGCTGCCAGATAGTCAGCTTTTCGACTGTAAACTGATAGGCCTGCTCATGTTTACTATTTTCTTGCTTAAGGAATTCCTTATCTTTAAAGTTTTATCTGTACTGGCCATTTACAAGAAAAGCTTATGAGATGGTCAGTCATCCATCGGTCCGTTACCATAACTTTGTTATTGCTATTTCTCCTAAACTACTTGAACAACTGTATTCAAGGTTTATATATACATAACCGATGGTCTAGACTCTAGCTGGTCCTAAATGAAAATGGTGGCCATCTTCAAAATATTATTGCTGCTCCTCCTGAATAGATGGTCATATTAACATGTTTTTTTATTAAAAGACTTATAGCTTATCTAATATGAAAAGAGTCCAGATCTATTGCCCAGTATGGATGACACAACAACCATCTTGAAAATCTTGTTGTTGCCACTCCTCTTGAATTGATGGTCGTGTGAAAGACTTTATTTCCAGTTTGTCGAAAATAAACTTGTTTGACATCCAATATGGCCGCTCTAAAAGCTAGCTTGAAAATGTTGTTACTAATGCTCCTTAACCAAAATTTATATCTTGAAAAAGTTTTATCTCTACTGTTCCCAAATGGATGACTAAATCAACATTAGATTTATTTATGATACCTGATTGGTCCTAAATAAACACGGCGCCTGTATTGCTTCCAATATGGTTGCCACGATGATTGTCTTAAAAATCTTGTTGTCACTACTCTTCTCTCTGAATGGATGATCATGACATATCTGAATGGATGATCATGACATATGACTTTCACTAAAATACTTGTAATGATATCCACTATGACGTAAATGACAATGGTGCCAAGCTGGCATCCAATATGTGCACCACAGTAGCTAATTGGAAAGTCTTATTATATAGATAGTTTCAATACACAACAGTTTAAAAAGAATGGACTTATTTTGAAGTCCTGGAAATTTGTTTTGCCCAGAAAGCGTCTATCCCTTAATTATAATTATTCACAATAATATTTAATATGCACTTTACCTGCCACTGTACATAAAACTCTTCCTTAAGCTCATTTGTCTTGTATTCTGCTTTGAACTCGTGTGTATGGTTTTTTCTCTCTCTTCTTATTTAGAGAATTAGTTTTGGCTAGGCGAATTTTCTTATTCAGATATTGTTACTAAACGTTGTTATTTATACAGTACATATGTTTCAAAGTAATTGGTATACGTAGCTCAAACAAGGGCCAACATGATTAATTATATTTGATACATCAAATATGTGATCGCTTGTATAAAAAATATCGTATCCGAAAGATTCCCAATGACGTGATTGTGTTATTGAAATGCTTATGAAGAATCTCAGTTGCATTGGTCGGTAAATGTAGCGACGATTTCCATTGATCAGAACATAACCATGTGATCTGGATCAGCTGCTTTAATTTCTGTATAGACTGTACGGAGAACTACTTTATACCAACTTCTGTCAAAAGTGTTACGTGCAAAGTAAATAATGCAAACTAAATAGAAGGCATATTGTCAGTTATAATTAATTTTGTATATTTGATTAATTTCTATCTATAACTGAGGGTAGGAATTTGTACTACCAGACTAATTTCAATTTTAGACATGTTTAATTGCATTTTAATTTAGGACATTGGTTTTCCACTTGATAAAACATGGTTGGTCTACCTCACCTTTGCCAGCTAGTTTGCTAATGTGAACAAACCTGAGTTTGTTTACGACTTTGATGGAAATTTCCATTGTTATTTACATTAGAATTATTTATTCCTATCTTATCATCTGTAGTATAATCAGTATTTTAGTTGTGTTTAGTTAAAATTTGAGAGGCTTTAAAATATTCATTGGAATTATAAAAGCTTATCGATACTTTTGAGGTAAATTACTATTTTTAGCGGTATTGTGAATTCATTTGAGGACATTCTGGATCATACTATTGTTTTGTATCATGTTTTGATAGCATATAAATACATTTAAAGTTAATGGCATATTTGCATGTTCAAATTTGGAGTTTACTGGGAATACCACTGGAATTCATTTGGAACACTCTGTACTTTTTGACTTGTGATAGAACTTTAGAACTGTTTGGGTGTTAATTCACAATACCGTCTGTCCTTGTTAAATTGTCACCTTGCATTCTAGGGAAATATGGTATATATTAAATGTTTGCTTAGTTTAAGACCTTAGATGTGTCACAATGCACAATGTGTGCTTTTAAAATGAAATAAAAGTGTGGTTGGCTTTATTGTTAATTCTGAAAATTGAATAAATTGATATTTTTAAAATCAAATAACAAATATTAGTATTTTGTTCTAAAAATAAATCATTCCTCCCGCTTTGATTAAAATCTAAGAAAGAAAAATATATTGCATACATTCTTGATCGAGTAGGGTGTACCACCAGTATTCAGCAGGGTGTGCCTCCAGTATTCAGCAGGGTGTGCCACCAGTATTCAGTAGGGTGTGCCTCCAGAATTCAGCAAGCAACTGTTCTACTCAAAGTTCTCAAACATTTCGTTAAATGCATTCCTTGACACACAAAGACGCTGAGACATCGATATCAGCAGAGTCAAGGCATAGATTTTAGTAAGGTTCAGAGTGAAGACGTCTAAATTAGGTTGATGATGAAAGGCTCTACTTTGTGGAAAAGAGGAAATGACCCATTGTGGACAGACTATGTTGAAACAGATTTTGTATCAATGACATGGGAATGCTGGTCTTGTTATGCTGACCTGGAAATATTGTCCTGTGATACGAACAAGAATCTTGTTGATATGTGCTCACTGCGTGTGGTATCTAATTCTTTTCGGGTTTCTGGTCGTCATTTCTCAGATATATTGAAACATATAGTCCCTTTTATTCTTCGTACCATCATAATATCTTCAAATATTTTGTACAGCAACATTAGAAAGTGTTATTCAGAATTAGGTGATATTGTTGTCACCCGTCTTGCAGTTTTCTGTGCATGGAAGCA